GATGTATTCATTGCAAGATATGATTTCCTTGACACATCTCCATGTAACTTACAAGTATGTTATATCACTCCCGGGGTCCTATATGTGAGAGGGGGCACGGGTGGCCCAGTCGTCTAAGGCGCCGCGATACGCTGTGCAGAGTTGCGTCCCTTGGGCACGCCAGAAACCTATGATTGTGGGTTCGAACCCCGGTTCGCCCCGATTATGTTTCTAGGTTTGTCAGCACCATACCCGTGCTCGTGGGTTTCACCGAAGTTGTAAATTTCTGAGGCCTGCTTCACTTCGGGCTTTCCTCCTACATTAAACTGACACGCCATGATATGACTGGAAAACTGTAAAGAGTGGTTAAGCCCAACTCACTCACTCACTATATGTTAGATTTGCAGTGTTACATATTTATGTTAAAGTCTACTGTTAGGTGTACCTATATCACAAGGGCACTCAGCAAAATCAATTGTCATTTAAATATTGATGTGAAGGGCTTGGTAATTGAGCATAGCATACGGAACATTAAACGTGATTTCATATGAATACAATAAATATGTATGTCTACACATGCTTCTGTCAACACGTTCTTTATGGAAAAAAGTAATTCTTATGTTTTATATAAAATTTTCTTTAGGCAGCCATTGTAGCAGTGTCTCGTCAACTCTCGATAGGCATCTGGGGTAATGCTGCTGAGTGATGGACATCCTAATCAAGTTTTTTTTAGCTTAAAACCCTCTCTCCACACACGAATATATCGTACATGAAATGTTATTATTATTTTATTGTGTGGATATTGTTTAACGCCGCACGATCCCAGGTGTCTGTTAATTGTCGAGGCCGGACAATGTATGCCAATAGTTATATAAAAAGCAATCAACCAAGGTCACAGAGAGGTATTGGATTCTTGTGTGGATTTTCAAAATAAATAAAGGATTTGCTTGATATTTTGCAATTTAAGAAAACAACCAAGTTCACTTCTGTCCAAACATTTTATTTTAATTTGCTTTTGTCACTAAACATGGAAATAATAGATATTATTACATTTTTAATTGTCAACAATAAAAGTAAATTCTTCTAACCTTCACTGAGAAAACAATATATTTGACCGCTGAACTTTAGCTTCCGGTATATCTGATATCGGACAATACCCGAAACATCCCTGCCACTGATTTATCCGTCTGAACCAGACATATAAGAGACCAGCCAACCCGCTTCGTTTGTTCCAAATTAAGATCTATGCATAAAGATCTAGAGTGACAAATCTCTCCACAAGACTGTAGGACAGGAGGGCTGACGTGCTTGTAACGCTATTTGATCAAGGTTACCATATTCAAGGCCTCATTCAAGATCCTGTGGAGAACATTTCCAAATTTGACTCATCAGTGACAAATTTAATGAACGATGCAGTTTTCTACTTTGACTTGTTCCATATATTCCCGTGTTTTTTTCAGGTTAACAGTTGACTCGCCTTTGCATGTGTTTGCAACCGTGGGGCAGGATACTTTCACATTTTTGTGAACACCTGGTATTATCACTATAATTTACCAAAAAACAATGTTACTGATACAGTCGGAAGGGTACAATCGATTTTGGCGGATATTTCTTATGAATATGGAAAGGGTTTTGTCGTTTCATTTAATAACTCTGCTTTCTTATAATTATTGAAACTGATCTTTCTTTCGCTTTTTTTTGTAAGAGAAATTGTAATAAACCTGTCATCGAATCAATGTAAAGATGAGCTATTTACATGTATGTGTGGACGTGCGCCACACCCGATTTTGACATTACTTGAACCCTTTCTCATAAAATGCGACCCACCCGTAGAAAAGGGACCTTAAGGGTGCTAGGATACAGGGGTGGCGTCATAAAGGAAGACGTTTGACGACAACTTCCGAAAAAATGTCAATGTGTGCGGACTGTAGAAGTATAATATGTATACATACAGGATATATATATGTATCTTATTTTCCTATCATTATACATAGAACTGAAATAATTACAAAAACGGGTCTAAGTGTGAAAATGAGCCCAAGTGTTTATTGTCATGTATCTCTGTGTTTTGTGTTCCTAAGATAAAGTAGTTTTAAAATATAATCAGAATCAAAATATAAAACGTTTTCACTCATAAGGTCCCTTACCTCATGGTTGGTCACATATGAGAGCAGTTTCCACTTACAGATGCTATCGATGGTCTTACAAAACCGAAATACACAAAACACACAGACGGAATCAGCAAAACATATATAAAGTAGCAACAATGTATTTGGTGCAAAGCAAGAATGTGCAGTTGTAAAATAACCATTAGACCATCGATAAATCTTAAAGCTGAACATTTGAACAAACAATATAACTACACACTGTGATAAAATTCATAAACTTGTTTCATATGCTAATTATCAAAAACAAATTTGTCAAACAAGATAAAGACAATATCTACAATTAAGTATTGTTGCTCTAAGTTATACTTCATATTCAATGCATATCATTCTCGCTTTGTTTACATGTTTTGTTAACACATTGTATTAGATCAATATAAGATCATCATAATAATGTCTCACATCTCAATGATTTAGAGGGTTTTATGGTATGATCGAAGAACCGGCAAGGAAGGAAATAGCACACGAATCCATGATGGTGCTTTTTACAACAGAGACATTCTTATACAGATATCACATGTAATAGGCAAAGCAATGTAATAGAAACATTGGTGATTAATCATGTATTCGGTGAGGATATACAATAATGATATACGAAAATATAAAAAAACATACTTTACATTAAACATTGAAATACAAAAGTCAATCTTTCTCCCGAAGGAAGCAACACTTCATGCAAATGGCACACACTACATTCTGCCCCAGCCGTGAGCCTTACCCCTAGCAAATAAATACCGGTACAAACCATTTCCTTGAAACAAATAACCTCCCTCAAAACGAATCAAACCTTCCTACAGTAGACATTCGCTCCCCCATCCTATCAATGATGACACCATACACTCTTATGAATATTACATTGCATTACAATTTGCTCGGACCTTCTTAAATATGATCAACATCGATTCCCACCTGCAATGTTTAGACAATATTGTGTTAATAACCAGCATTAAAAAGACTTTCAAGGGCTCTGTGCCATGCTGTGAGTCGTCTCTACGGGAGCACGTGAAATATGCCCCCTGAGGCATCTCGCTCATTTGATGCGTTATTTTCACAGACATCAATGACATGCAAAGAGTATTCGTATCCGATACATTATATACATCACTTAGAAGGTGACATCAAACGATTATACATCAATTATGCACTCGTTTAGATAAAGAGTCTAACAAATACATGCTAAATGATTTATTCAGTATTTTTAATTAGACGAACTATTATATAACATAAATGAAGGCATATAAATTCCACTAAACATAAACCATAAACATATAGATATATGGTGCAGACTTTGTACCTTTATGAACGAGCTATACAATGTTCTTTTCGATATCTGATAAATAAACTATGTCAATATTAAAGACATCACAATCAAAAACTGTCAATGTTAATGTCCTTAGCTATGACGCATACAGGATTTGAAGCACCAAACGTCTGCTCCAGAGACAAAGGCTCCATCAACTAGATCACGGACGCGGTCTAAACTTCAAAAGATATATTTTCCTTCTAATGTAACAATTGCAGTGTAAATTAACGTGCACAATGAAAAGTGATAAATAAATTAAAGACGTGAAGTGCACAGCCACGTGTCTTGTTCCCTGAAATATCCTTCAAGTTATTTGATAAATTTAGTTCAGCGCCACTCATCGAGATGCAGCTGATAATCCAGTGATTGATATTATGAACAACCATGCTCGACTTCGAGGTACAGTGTCATGCAATCAACCCAGTGAACGAGCCTCACTTCACGCTCCATTAAGTCGTCTTTTACAACCACCATCACTGACTGGGGGCCAAATCAAAACCAGAGTGCCAATTTTGCCCCACTTTGTAAAAGCAAAATAATTTCATTATAAAATTGACACATTGATTTGCAACCTGCCTTGAGAACGATGGATGCATGCATGTACTTTTATACACAACAGGAACACTATGATTCACCACCAGGACACAGCCAAGTGAGCCTGTAGTTATGAGAGTGATGTTATATGTTACAAAATGTGCTTTAGTCTGGTAACCCAGCGTGTGTATGATCGACATTTACACTGTACACCCTATTTTATTGTTCCTGGAGGTAAATGTAGATCCATATATAAAAAAGCTGGATTGTGAGTGAGTGAGTAACAATATTCCAGCAATATCACGGCCGGGGACCCCATCTCATGCTGGATGTAAAGGAAAACAAATGTTGTGAAAAGAAATAAAACAATGGGGTTCATCCTTTCACAAAAACGCAATATCATGTAGCAAACAAAATTTGCTTTAGTCTGTTAACCCTGCGTGTGATTGATCGACATTTACACTGTACACAATATGTAATTGTTCCTGGAGGTAAATGTAGATCCACAGATACAAAAAAGCCGGATTGTGAGTTAGTGAGTGAGTAGCAATATTCAAGCAATATCACGACCGGGGACACCATAAATGGGCTTCACACGTTGTACCCATGTGAGGAATCAAACCTGGTCTTTGGCGTGAAGCACTAGATTACCTCACCGCCCTAGAAGCACAGGAAAGACAGCAACAAGGACACCGCGATACTCATGTTATTGGTATTAGTATGTCATCCAGACCCATTGTTCTGTTGCTGTGGTCTCTTTCTGGAATCAAACTGTTTACAGTAGTAAGTGTTGAAGGAAGCTTTAGGTTTTGTGTATTTGTTAGTTTAGGCCGCATTCAGTTATATTGCAGCTCTTCCACGGCAGTATTATACTCGAGTCTGAGCCTGGCCAACCAGTGGCAGAAATAATGTCCATCGTGTCACGTCGTCTGGGTACAATAAACGATATTCAGTGCAAGATCCTGACCACTGATCTAGTCTGCTCTTTCGGCAAGTAGTAGATCCTGATGGGTGCCTAATCTAACCAGTGACCTCACAGGGAGTACAATTTATTATTGTAATAGTGCTGGGCTTTAATACAAATAATACGTATCAGAAATAAAATGGACCAAAAACATTGCCTCAGATTATATCCAACTTATTTTTTCATGCTTGATGTAAAGGAAAACAAAATGTTGTGAAAAGAAGTAAAACAGTGGGCTGAACACAAAAACACATTTTATGTATCAAACAAAATTCGCTTTATTCTGGTAACCCTGCTTCTTTAGGATCGATAATTACACTGTGGATGGGCATGTTATTAGTAGAGCCTTCGGCCCGTGGTATAAAACATTGCGAATAGTGTAAAAGCCATTACAACAACAATGTTTCAATCTGCCGTTGGAAACTAATTAAAAACAAATTTGAAAATTGAGGGAAAACAACTGTTTGATCAAACTGAGGTTTACTTGTATTGTGCGACGTGAATTTCAATGACTCGAACACAACGTATAACTTGTGGCTTCGTAGCGGGGTTCATGAGATTTATTCTCCCGCTCCCGCGGACTACGTAGCATTTTATCATGACCACGTAAACTAATCACATCTCAACATTCTAACATGGAGCTAAGATACTGTTTGATGATTATTGTTTTTTTTAAATGAATTATCTCTCTGGGTGATACCGTCTACGTTAACGGAGAATCACTTTTAAAATACAAAACTTAAATCAGAACAAAATGTAATCGCTCTCTTACAAAATTAAATCAACAATGTAATGATGTGTCATCATTATCCACGAGCATGCCCTTGTCGTCTTGTTAACAGAGTCATGCCACACGATGCACTTCCACAGTAGCATAATCTGCACCTCCAAGTTGCCCAACATTTATATGCGGAGGACGATGAGGATTAACTGGCGATTGTTGTTTTATTTAATTTACCTGTTTTCTTTTGACGACACATACAATGATGATGATGATGACGAGAAACACGATTGCACAAACAACGGCAACAATGATAATGAGAGTTGATGGTGTGCGTGGTTCATCATTTCCTGGAGCATCAGTTGTTTCTGCAACCATATAAAGGCGTCATCAGCAATTGTTAGACACCTTTCCTTAAATATCAGAACCCTAGTTCCATTGCATAAAACCAAACACAATGTTAGTGCACATTATAATGACTAGTAATAGAAAGTACAAAAGGCGAAGACAAATAGCAGGAGTTGGCGACTGTTTCAGCAACAAATATGGGGACGAATTTGTTATTTAATCTGTTATGTAATTCTCAAAATAAATTCATTATATTGCCTTATAACTGTACTTGTGGTGTTGACGTGCCCCAATTCAATTTAGTTATTTGCTTCTTTGACATATTGTAAAAGACTCACTGAGTTCAGTGACTCCATCACAAGGTAGACTCGACCGCTTGTTGTGACAGCTAAATATCAGTCTTACAACCCCCAGGTGGGAGTCCGTCACATTCAGGGTTACTGATGAAGTGTTGTGAGAAACACTTGATACAGAGTCAGCTTCCATCAGCAGTGTTGTCACATTCCCGGTCTGGAGTGAGAAGGTGAGAGCTGTGGAACAGTAGTACTCTTGTATGTCCACTGTGAGTGTCAGCGCCTGATACTGGGCAAGTACATCAGTGTCCCCCTGACTGGTGATGCTGCATGTTGGTGTTTCTGAATCATCAAATACAACCACAGAATGATGAAATAGTCCGACTAAATCAAATTAGAGTTAAAGAGTGAAATTCTTTCATTAACTTGTCCATTTTAAAATCAAAACTATCATATAAACCAAAAATTACTTTTGATATATTCAGGTTATAAATGTGAGCGAGTGAGTTGGGTTTAACGCCGCTTTTAACAGTATTCCAGTTACATCACGGCGTGTCAGCTTAATGTGGGAGGAAAGCCCAAAGTGATGCAGGTCTCAGACGTTTACCACTTCGGTGAAACCCACGAGCACTGGTATGGTGCTGACAAACCTAGAAACATAATTGGGGCGAACTGTGAGGTTATAAGTGGTTGGAGGTTGAAATTGATGACTGATTTACATTGCTGTGTGTGAATTTTGCGAACAGAAAATCATTTCATCACTTAAGTTTGTCATCCATATTCTAACAACATGACGGTGATCCAGATAACATGGCGCTGAACCAGACAATCATGTGATTGACATCATGAGAATTAATCCAAGCAATTAGAGTGAGTGAGTATGGTTTTACGCCGCTTTTAGCAATATTCAAGCAATATCACGGGACACCAGAAATGGGCTTCACACAATGTACCCAAGACGGGAATCGAACCCGGGTCTTCGGCGTGACGAGCGAACGCTTTAACCACTAGGCTACCCGACCGCCCCCCAAGCAATTAGAATACATCGAGATGCAATAAACCAAGTCACGGAGCTTGATCACCTGGTCCATTTAGTCGCCTCTGTCGATAATCACATGTTGCTGGGGATCTAAGGTCAATTCAGTTTATTTCAGGGTTAAATGCCATTTCAAATTCAGCCAAATTGTCAATCACTGGATTGTCTGGTCCGGACTCCATTATTTACATACCGCCGTCATATAGCTGGAATATTGCTGAGTGCGGTGTTAAACAACACACAAACAAAACGTTACACGCATGCATGTTGATTACAGTTAAAATAGCAAATGCATAAACATGCTTTACTTCACTCAAGAACAACACGACAAAATTTTCCAAGTTTTAATGAAACGTGACAACGAAACAATGCAACATTTCGAAAAAATCTCACGTTGTCGCATTGTTGTGCTCATATTAATTTATGCATACTTATTTTAAGAAAGCGCGACCACGCTACTGCCCGACAATTCTACACAGCAACATTTCATAAAACATGTCACATTTTCGCGATTAGATTACAAATAAACATACATACTCCCGTAAAGCCGGAAGTGCTTAGACTTAGACTTTACTACTTTGGTAAAGTAGGAGCTAAGTTTGTAGCTAAAAGGGTCATTAGTTGACTGATGTTTTGTGTATTAAATATATACCAGGCTCCCTCAGGGTGAGTGAATGAGTATTCTTTGACGTCACTTGGAACATTTATGTCAACATGATGTGAGATAAAGGCGGAAGTGATACAGGACTTAGACTTCACTACTTTGGTAAACTGTCAAGCCAAGAAACATAATCAGGACGAATCGGGGATTCGAAACCACGCCCTTAGGTTTCACACGCACGTCTTGGAGACACAAATCTGTACAGCGAATATGATGATTTCAGTGATTGAGTGATTGAATAAGTGAATTTGGATTTGAGTGAGTGTGGGAATGGCTGAATTACATTATTTCAGGACTAATTACATTATTTCATGGCATGTCTGCTTGATGTGGGAAGAAAGCCGAAGTTATGCATGTGCAAGATGCTGATTTTCTAGCACGCCCCGGGGAAGGCAAATCTTCACAGCGACTGCCCCAACCGTGTCCCCTCGTCTATATGAAACTGTTACTGGTGATCGTAGTGGAATGCTGACAAACCTAGAAACATAATCGGGGCGAAACGGGATTCGAACCCACAATCATAGTTTTCTGGCGTGCCCAAGAGCCGCAACTCTGCACAGCGAATCTCGCCGCCTTAGACGACAGGGCCAACCATGCCCCCTTCTATTATAACATTTAGGGGGAGTAAATTATATACGATCAGTACATATCAGTTTTGAAATCGTACCTACTTGCAACTGTTAAAATACATGTCTCAACTTCATTAAGAATAGTTTCACATGACCATTGTCCCGCATCTGTTGTCTGTATACCAGAAATGTTGAAGACAGAGTGAGTGCCATTGATGACAGACGCAGATCCGTTCTCAGTCTCACACGGCATACCTCCTTTCAGTTGACATTGTGCAACATCAACACCACTGGGGTTGATATATGTGTGAACACCACTTCCCCCTGTACAGATCAATTGTACAAACGAGTCCACATTGCTGAAACTTGGGCAGATGAATCCTGTGGATACTGTGGAGAAAGTAATTTTAATAAGCCGTAATAATGTATGATACCTGTGTCATTATCAGAGAACTATAGCTGCATATACACTTGCGATAATTATCATCTACAAATATATCACAAAAGTTTTGAACTGACCGCAAAGTGACTGTGTCAGTAGAAGTAGAGTCTGGGCCACGGCTGTGTCGGCAGGTGTCATCTGGAGCCTATCACATTAAAACAATATATCCTAAATTATTCATAAGATTATCATACCTAATCAAAAACATCACCAACATCTCTAATATTTTGATTATCTCACTAAGAGGACTGTCAACAGTATCCAAATCTGTATCTCCAAATTCCGTAGTCATGGTCTGCTCTACTGATAGCACTCACAGGGCGAACAGCGCAATCACGTTCTGCTCTACTGATAGCACTCACAGAGCGAACACCGCAATCATGTTCTGCTCTACTGATAGCACTCACAGAGAGAACAGCGCATTAATCCAAGCAAAAGAAATACGTCGAGACGAAATCAAACAAGTCATCGAGTTTGACTTCCTGGTCCATGTAGTCGCCTCTGTCGATAAGCCTATGTTGCTTGGGATCTAAGGTCAATTGAGTCTATTTCAGAGTTTAGAGCCATTTCAAATTTAGCTAAATCCAAAACACGCATGCATGTTGGTTGAAGTTAAACAGCAAATGCGTAATTATGATTCATTTCACTCAAGACCAACACGACTACATTTTCAAAATTGTAATGCAACGTGACAACGAAACAATGCAGCATTTCGACAAAATTTTGCGCTGTCGCATTGCTGTGCTCATATCAATTGATGCATACTTTTGATATTTTAAGAGAGCGCGACAACGCGACTGAGCGACAATGCCAAACGGCAACATTCCATAAAACATGTCACATTTTCGCGTTTAGATTACAAATAAAAATAAATACGTTCGTAAAGTAGGAGCTAGGTTTGTGGCTAAAAGGGTCATTAGTTGACTGATGTTTTGTGTATTAAATATATGGGCAAATGTTCTTAATGTACCAGGCTCCCTCGGGGTCGTTTCGTAAACAGGGGTAGTTTGAGTGAATGAGTATTGTTTGACGTCACTTGGAACATTTACGTCAACATGATGTGGGATAAAGGCAGAAGTGATACAGGTGACTTTACTACTTTGATAAAACGCAAAACTGTCAAGCAAAGAAACATAATCAGGTCGAATCGGGGATTCGAAACCACGCCCTTTGGTTTCATACTCACGTCTAGGAGACGCAAAACGGTACACGAATATGATATGAATGAGTGAGTGAGTGAGTGAATTTGCAATTCATGCCGTGTCTGCTTGATGTGGGATGAACGCCGAAGTTATATATGTGCAAGATGCTGATTTTCTAGCTCGCTTGTTGGACGCAACACTGCACAGCGAGCTACGCAGTCTAAAACGACTGAGCCAACCGTGTCCCCTCATCTACATAAAGTTGCTGGTGATTGAAATTAAATGAAATTGAAATGGAAAGAGTTTGTTTCTTGTCGTCAAAATACTTTGGTGTTTGAAAATCGATATGAGACCTAATTTCTCTAGAAACGATCAATTGTATTCAGGTTGTTGGTCATTTTAATTTTTAACTCACATTAGATAGGGCGACAATGCGACAACACAACATAATTTTACCTTTATAAATTATATTCAAGATATCAACAACTGTTCCTTAAATATTACATGAGCATGGCTCGTAAGAGTAAAGATTTAACTGATATAAAAACAAACACGCATAGCACATACCATCTTTCAGAGACAACGGAGTAAAGTTTTTAGAAAAATCCAGTTTCCACCTTGCCGAACAAGCCTGGAATTATGGTGTAATATTTTGCCTGGACTAACGAGTCAATAAGAATCGCGAAACAGAATCGACATCCGGTTCGTAAACTGCCCTGCAGATTTCTGTCAATTGCAGGATTTGTAGAGCATGTGTACCGTCAACTGAGCGTCAACAAATATATTCAACATCATTTCATGTCTTCAGTCAAGGTGCTTACGTGATTTGTTGCACTTTGCGAGGTAGGACCCGTTACATTACAATATAGATCTTGATCATCAACCAGATAATCGGCACCATTTCGTGTGAAGCAAATGCAAGTGAGAGGTGGAATCTGATTTGTCAATAGGAAGGACATAGAAGGGACCTAACTCGTAATAGCCACTGGTGGCGGTACGATTGAGCCAAGAAATTCCACCTTAGTTCAGCAAGGGTGGAAACTGTTTTTTACAGTCACTTAACTTCCTTGCCTCGGGAAGATGAACCCATACTAATCCTTGACATTTGGTGTACGTGTATCATTTAACGTACATTTTCTGTATCTTTCGGGGGAGTAAATTATACACGATCAGTACAAATGACTTTTGAAATGATACTTACTTGCAACTGTCAAATTGCATGTCTCAACTGTATTAAGAGCATTTTCACATAACCATTCTCCCGCAGAAATATATAATATATACCAGAAATGTTGAAGACAGACTGAGTGCTATTGATGACAGACGCCGATCCGTACTCGAGATCACACGGCATACCACCTTTCAGTTGACACCGTGCAACACCACGACCACCGGGGTGTTTATATGTGTGAGCACCACTTCCCCCTGTATAGATACTCTAATAGTTTGATTACCTCACTAAGAGGACTGTCAACAGTATCCCCTGGATTATTTTATATTCCAAAAGTTAAGCACCACCCTTTCGTTTTGTTCATATATCTCCAAATTCCGTCAGTACATAGTTTAGAAACTGGCTCCCCAGCTAACAAGGCCCCAATTTGTAACTAGGGATGTTTGTTTGTGTGTTGTTTCAATCAACCCAAACTGTTGTATATCAGCAGCCATCGTGGGACATGGATAGGTCAAATCGTTAAAGGCAAAATGTCGATGAAAAAGAAAGGAATGGGTCACTGGAAGTGAGTGATGACACCGTATTTTCGCGAACAGCGGAATCAAGGTCTGCTCTACTGATAGAACTCACAGAGAGAACAGCGCAATCATGGTCTGCTCTACTGATAGAACTCACAGAGAGAACAGCGCAATCATGGTCTGCTCTACTGATAGCACTCACAGAGCGAACAGCGCAATCATGTTCTGTTCTACTGATAGCACTCACAGAGCGAACAGCGCAATCACGTTCTGCTCTACTGATAGCACTCACAGAGCGAACACCGCAATCATGTTCTGCTCTACTGATAGCACTCACAGAGCGAACACCGCAATCATGTTATGATCTACTGATAGCACTCACAGAGCGAAAAGCGCAATCATGTTCTGCTCTACTGATAGCACTCACAGAGCGAACACCGCAATCATGGTCTGCTCTATTGATACAACTTTAAGAGCTAACAGCGTAAACATGATCTGCTCTATTGATAGCACTTACAGAGCGAACAGCGCAATCATGTTCTGGTCTACTGATAGCACTCACAGATCGCACAGCGCAAACATGGTCTGCTCTACTGATAGAACTCACAGAGCAAACAGCGTAAACATGATCTGCTCTATTGATAGCAGTTACAGAGCGAACAGCGTTAACATGATCTGCTCTATTGATAGCACTCACAGATCGAACAGCGCAATCATGTTCTGCTCTACTGATAGCACTCACAGATCGAACAGCGCAATCATGTTCTGCTCTACTGATTGAACCCACAGAGCGAACAGCGCAATCATGGTCTGCTCTACTGATAGCACTCACAGAGCGAACAGCGCAATCATGTTCTGCTCTACTGATAGCACTCACAGAGCGAACAGCGCAATCATTGTTTGTGTGTTTGGTTCATTACGCCCCACGCAGCATATCTCGTTTCGGCACTGTGTAATTATTATGTTTTCGTATAGCTGAATGTTGTATCCTTACATCCTTAAACTTTACAAACAACTTAAATACCATTACTTATAGTCTTATACAGTACTATATATTAGTGGGAAAAAGTAACTGTGCTTCTGATAAAATAGTGTAAATGTTATGTTATTGCCAACACCAACGCAATATTTGGTCATATGTCTGATTAATATAATACTCAACAACAAGTCTTCCTGTGACACCAATATTTTAGTGTATTTTTCAAACAAGTAAAGTTTGTTTTTCAATACTGTAATAGATGTATGGAATCAAGTCACAAAAACGCAACTGCTACAGAAAAGCATGCATTCCATGCAAAAGTTGACTTTTATGCAAGACCCATGCATTTCAATGCCCAAGTATGGGTATAAAAACATGTGCGTTAACGGGATTCCATATGCATTGTTTAGCATCGTGCTGACAACAACCACTCAGAAAAACAACAAAATTACGCAATTAGTTATTATTACGAAATGCCACGCCTGTCCGAAAATGAGCGTCTGCGAGCCATTGGTATGCTTGAAGCAGGATCGAGTCAACGTGATGCTGCAAGACATTTTAACGTCCACAGAAACACTATTTGGTGTTTATGGCAACGTTCGCAATGGACGAATGCAGTCAGAGACCATCCTCGGAGTGGCGGGCCACGCGTAACCAATAATCGACAAGACAACTGGATTCGAACAACACACCTACACAATCGATTCCAGCCAGCAACAGTGACTGCAAGAAGCATCCCTGGCCTTCGACGAATATCGTCACAAACCGTACGTCGTCGCCTCAGATGTGCAGGGATTTTCGCCAGAAGACCCGCCAGACGCCCCATTTTGACAGGAAACCAGCGTCAAGCACGTCTACAGTGGTGCAGACAACGTCTACGCTAGACGGCCATGCAGTGGGGACAAGTTCTATTCACTGATGAATCTCGTTTTCACCTCAGCAACAGCGATGGACGGATTCGAGTGTAGCGACGTCGAGGTGAACGTT